CTCTCTCTCTCTCTCTCTCTCTCTCTCTCTCTCTCTCTCTCTCTAATAAAAAAATAAAATAAAATAAAATACTATCAATAGAATGGCTCAATATCAGAAATTCAATGTCATCACATTACTATGACAAAGGGTGAAAAACCGGACATCTAAACAGATGCAGATTTAAATTAGCAATAAAACAGAGCTTTGGGGGCCAGGGAGATGGCTCAGTGGAATAAGCACTTCCCTGGCAAGCGCAAAGGCCTGAGTTCAATCCCTGGTTTCACCAAAAAAGTAAAAAATAAAAATAAAATAAAAAAATAAAAGAGAGCTTCTAATGAAGAGTTATTGAATTAACTCATCTAACCAGTAAGTATCACATTTAATACAGTAACTATAGACTCAGAAGCAGAAATAAGACAACAATGTTTGTTAGCAGTTACTGTGAAATACAAACGAACAACCTGGCCATCTTATTAAAAGTGAATGCTGTTAAGGACTGAAAAGAAAGAGAAGAATAAAACTATCATTATTTGCATTTGCATTTAGCTAGGCATCCCATGACAACCATTATTAGAATTTAGCATACATCAAAGCTATAAATACATCAATATACCAAGTTCAACATATTTCTCTCCAGAAATAATGGGATGGGCCTCCTCTGACAGCAATGTACTATGGTGGAATGACAGAAATGATTAGGATGGCCTCTGTGCAAGGCTGATACATAAATCTGTGAATGTTCCATATTTGTCCAGTGGGAGCATAAAGCACAGAGTATAGAGATCAATAGGACATAGCTATCACTCAGTATGTAAAAATAACCTTTGTAAAATTGTCTTTTGTAATAGATGAAAGACTGATTGGACTGCAGTAGCTTACTTATGTCTACCAGAGTTAAGTTAATCTCCATTCATCTTTAAAAAAAAATTTTTTTGAAATCATTTATTATTTATGTATTTGGTACAGGGTCTCACTACACAGCTCAGACTTGTAGTGATCTTCCTCTCTCAGCCTCCATAGGGTGCTTAGCATGGCATGTGGTACCTGGGACTGAACGTGGGTCCTTGTGCTTGCCAGGCAGGTGCTTAGACCACTGAGCTATCTCTCTAGCCCTCATCTTTCTTTTAAAATAACTGTACAGGGGCTGGTGAGATGGCTCAGTGGTCTGAAGCACCTACTTGGAACAAGCTTAGCAAAGCACAGGGACCTCGATTCAATCCCCCAGCACCACACGCCAGCCGGCCCCGCCCCCTGGTGGGGTGAGCTGGCCACACACACACAAATAAATTAAAAAAAATAAATAAAATAAAATGAAATAAAATAACTGTACAACTGATTTCTAGACATAGTTCTTAACATGAACATGGCAGTAAGGATTTAAAATTTTTTTCTGCTAAAATATACAGATTGCATTTATTTATTTATTTATTTATTTACGGTACTAGAGATTGAACTCAGGACTTTGTGCTTGCCAGGCAAGTGCTTATTCTACTGAGCTATCTTCCCAGCCCCTAAAGATTGCCTTTAAATTCTTCTAATATCAAGAAAATCAGTAGCAATTTGTTAGAGATTTCCTACTGAAGAAATACATTTTTAGATACTCATTAGGTTAGATATAGTAATAGATAAATTTTAAAATAGCAAGTGGTGGTATAGCTTATCCATATCACTAAGCTGCTGCAGAACTTAATAGACAAGCTTATGATATTTTATGCAAACACTGGCTCTAGATATTTGAGGAGCACAATACAGATTTTCAAAAGTGATTTTGTTATATGTACATTATGGTGTTATTTCTGGGTGAATGTGTGTGTTTGATTTGTTCTTCATACTGTAGTGAATAAAAAATAAAAATATAACTATTAAAATACATTCAATATTCAGAGAAGTCTGGTTTTTGGTGCTAATAAAACTTGTTTAATAAAGAAATAATGGCATATCATTTTTAATGTTAGCAACAATTATAATACACAGGAATTAGCCAAATAAATAAAAGAGATGTTCAGAATAAATAGGCATTATTTTCAGAAAAGAAATATTTTACCTTGTAAATATTCAACTTTCCTATAGATAATTTTTATTTTTTGTCGCTAATTTTATATAAATGTAAA